TTATAGGCCAGATGCAGTGGCTCACAAATGTAATCCCAGTACTCTGGGAAGCCAAGATGGGTGTACTGCTTGAGTTCTGGAGTGTGAGACCAGCCTAAGCAAGAGAAAGACCTACTTCTAAAAACAGAAAAACTAACCAAGGCTTTGTGGTGGCCCAGCTACTTAGGTGGCTGAGGCAAGATTGTTCGAGCCCAAGAATTTGAGATTGCTCTGAGTTATGACCCCATAGCACTATACCCAGACTGACATGAGACTTCTTCTCCAAAATAAAGAAATTGAGGCAGAATGTCCAAAGATTACACAGCTTCACGTATTTCACCTGCAAGCTATATCACTGATCCTTCTATATGTGCCTCATTTTTTTTTTTTTTTGAGACAGAGTCTCACTCTGTTGCCCAGGCTAGATCTGCTAGGGTCAGCCTACCTCACAGCAACCTCAAACTCCTGGGTTCTAGGGATCCTCCTGCCTCAGCCTCCCAAGTAGCTGGGACTATAGGCACCAGCCACAATGCCTAGTGAATTTGTGTTTTTTTAGTAGAGCTGGGATCTCACTCTTAAGCTCAAACTTGTGAGCCCTAGTGATTCTCCTGCCTCAGGTTCCCAGTACTAGAATTAAAGGCATGAGCCACCATGCCCACCAAGCTGGACAATTTGTTCAGTTTATTGCTGGCTCCTCTTACTCTTAAGGAAAGGTGTGCAGGAGGGATAAGAAAAACAAAAAGGTTGGACATGGTGGCTCATGCCTATAATCCTAGCACTCTAGGAAACTGAAGCAAAAGGACTACTTAGGAGTTTGAGACCATCCTGAGCAAAGTGAGAACTCCATCTCTACTAAAAATAGAAAAATTAGCCAGGCATGGCAGTTCTAACTACTTGGGAGGCTGAGGTAGGAAGATCGCCAGAAGTCCAAGGTGCTATATTGCTGTGATTTAGGCTGAGGCTACAGGGCTCTGGATGGTGGTGGTTCATAGGGAAATAAACCAAAAGTATCTACCTCTATAAAGTTCTAAAGTCTGAAAAAAGGCACTTACTCAGAAAAGCCTTTCCATTTCAGTAGATATTCCACTTGTCCCTTAACCACACGCCTATCTAACACCTTCTCCACAACATACTCCTCCTCATCCTCTGAAGAACTGTCAGCTGTCCGCTTGGTTTTCTTTCCCATGTCGAACACTGTTCCACCTGAAGGACTAAGGCCACTGGGTTCCTGAAAAGGGCAAGGACAAAGCGGTTAGAATCCAGGTGAGGAGTTAAAAACTCTAATTCTTGATGGGATGAAGGCAGTACAACAAAAAGTTGCCATGAGCCCTTCTTTTGGGTCTTAAATCATTCCAGATAATGAGTCCTTAAGAATTTAATTTAAAAATGGGTCAATTCTCACTTCCCCAACTACAACTTTCTCTTTGGCTAAAGAGAACAAATTATTAGATGGTACAATTATCTAACTCTTTTAATTTCAGATTCCAAACTACAAGTATTATGGTTTGTTATTCCTCGCTACTCCTATTAACTGTTTATAAGCCAGAAACTCAAAAATGTGAAAGGTAGAAAACATCCAGTTAAATGAACCATGATAAAATTCAAACCCTTGCCTCCAGGATGGCTAAGGTTCTTTATAAAAATGAAAAAATGAAAAGCCACCAAAATATAACTTCTCTCTGTTCTGAGTATCTTGACTCATCTCTTAGCAGCCCCCCCGGAAGTTTTGCTCGGGTATTTTTCACATTTCAGTCACTTGGTACATTTTTCTTAAACAAATTGAGCTTGTCCCTTCAGAGCATCTATCAGCTAACAAAAGTAAGAATGACATCTCAAAGGCCAGGGGTGCAGTGGCTCATGCCTGTAATCCTAGCACTCTGGGAAGCTGAGGCAGGAAGAGTGATTGAACTCAGGAGTTTGAGACCTACCTGAGCAAGAACAAGACCCTATCTCTATTAGACATAGAAAAATTAGCTAGGCTCCGCGCCTATAGCTCAACTGGCTAAGGCGCCAGCCACGTACACCTAAGGTGGTGGGTTCGAATCCCCAGCCCGGACCCGCCAAACAACAATGACGGCTGCAACCAAAAAATAGCCGGGCGTTGTGGCGGGCGCCTGTGGTCCCACCTACTTGGGAGGCGGAGGCAGGAGACTCGCTTGAGCCCAGGAGTTGGAGGTTGCTGTGAGCTGTAATGCCACGGCACTCTGCCCAGGGGGACAGCTTGAGGCTCTGTCTCAAAAAAAAAAAAAAAAAAAAGAAAGAAAAAAGAAAAAAAGAAAAATTAGCTATTAGGTGCCCATTGTGGTAGGCACCTGTAATCCCAGAATCCCAGCTACTCAGGAGGCTGAGGCAGGAGGATTGTTTGAAAAAGGAATTTGAGGTTGCTGTAAGCTATGCTTAGGCACTCTACCCAAGGTGATAGAGTTAGTCTCTCAAAAAGAAAACAAACAAACAAAAAAACAGAATGGTATCTCAAACACACTCAGCCTCATTTTTAGCTAATTTGGGGGTGGAAAGGAGGCAGGATGAAGAAAAAAATGTTTTAGTCTTAAACTTCAAAATTAGTCACTGGATTATTCAGTAGTTCCCAAGGCACAACTAACACAAATAGTTAAGGTACTGCTGCTCTTAACTGAAGTTGACTCTAGGCCAAACGAAGAGGAGGAGGAAAAGTCTGGCCCCAGACTCAGCATCAACATGAAGCCTCCTCAAAACACAGAGGACCCATTCATAGGCCCAAGGAAAGCTGAAGCAAGGCAACACAAATGGAAATTGAGTTAAGCTCAGAAATATGCACACCAGGGGGTACTCGACAGAGATTCTAGTTTTTTAGATTCCCCCATTATTACCATAATCATTTTTAAGAATTCTTTCTTAGCCATGCTAAATGGTGCCTACAGTCTAGATTATAGAGAAGTAGAAATTGTTTTCTTAGCTGAACTCCAATTTTATTTTGCTGTAATCTTTAAAGGTGTGTTCCAGCACTCTCTAGATATTTCCATCCTGACCAGAAAACCACTGCTGGGAATAGAAAGGACCACTATCAATTTCAGAATTATATTCAAGTAGCATAAAAAGCTAATTTACCAACTCACTTCAAATTAGTAAAACTTAAAAAATTAAACCTTATCTCCAGAACTTATTAGCAATATAAGTCTGCTCACCTAAAAAACTGCCTTTACTCATTATTGCCCTGTAACAAAACTTAAGTTTTCATTAAAATACTTTATTTGGAAGAGTACTGGGAAAATGTAGGTAGGGGAGTTTTAAATATTTTTCCAGGAATTCAGAAGAGTCCTAAGCTTCAAGAGAACACATTTGATTTGGTTTATTTAAAACAAAAACAGCCTCCAACCTCAGAGACAGGAAATGTCATATTCCAGGGAGAGTACCCACCCCCACCCCCACTCACCTTGGAATTTCCGGGAGCTGAGCAGTTTAGGTTAGAGCACTGGGGTTAAAACCAGCTCCATATTAGATGCATGCAGTTAAGCATTGTGGCTATGGCCTCCCCTGCCTCACCAGGAAAAACAAGGATTTACATGTGTTCTTCAGTTTGAGGGAGAGAAAAGGAAAATCTCCCTTTATACCATCATGCAGAAGAGGAGCCCCAAAGGTAGAAGATGAATGGGGGTTCCCTCCTTTACCTACCAGATCGCCCCAGTTCTTTCTTTCCCTCTGGGCTAACAGGAGGGGCCTCCCCTCCCAGGTCTGGGGCTTGGCGGGCTGGTAGCTCCCCTGCCCCCACCCAGCTGCCTGGGCGCCAGTGCGCAGCTGTCCCAGTCCGTTGCCATGGCAACTGGCAGCAGTACTACACTAAGGGGGAGAGGAAAATGGAAAAGTTAAAAGGCTTAACTTTCCTTTTCAGTGAAGACTGGGTGGAGAAGTTGGAAGGTACCTCCCTTGGCCTCAAGGCTAAGGCCCTTAGAACTCAAGGGAATTAGTTCTTGGGATTTAAATCTAAAATTTATGTTTATTCCTCTACAAGTACTTCGAATTAATCAATAGCATTTTAAGATCATCTAACAAGATTACAGTTCAACTGGAGGGGGGAGGGGAAAGGCCAGGTCCTTCTACTACAGGATCCGTACAAACCACACATCCCTAAATTCAGCCCACCAGAAGCACTTAGAACAAGGCCTTTTCTACCATCTGTCACTGAGCAGTTAATTAAAATTGCTTGAGGGGAAAAACAACAGGAAAGGGGGGTGGGGAAGTATTTTAAAGATACTATACCAATTTCCTTCCTTAGGAGGATTACTAGATACAGTAATAGAATCCAGAGACTGGAAGCACTATCAAAAAAACCTCTTCCAACTATAGGTGGAAACTATATAGGTGGAAAAAAAGTTTAATCACTAAGAAGTTCTAATAAAAGGAGAAGAGAGCAGTTTGGCCACAACCAAATGGTTGTTAAATTAAAACCACTTTCAGTTTCTCTTGTAATGTTATGAAGCAGATCTCTTAATAAGTATTCATTGCCTAATACATCATTAATACACAACTCCCTATATCAATAATCCCTAAAACCTAAGAAAAGTAGAAGAGGATAAAGAAAAAAGATACTGCTAGACTTGAAATTCTACATATTTTCCTTCCTCCTGGCTCTAAAGAACATCAAGAGCATCAAAACCCTACTCTGTTTGACAACTACAGGAACATTAGAGCCAAAGGTTGCTGCCATAGGAAAGTAAAGAAAAAGGTCAATCAAAAGCAAGGAACTCGAATGAAGAAAAAGTAGAGAATGATGACTATTTTGGCTGTCAGAAGAAACCACAGGATAAGAGAGCGAAGGAGAAATTTTTTAATTACAGGAGATTTCTTCAATTCCGAATGGATCCTTCAGGAAATCTGAGTAAAAACTGCCTTTAAAAAAAAAAAAATCTTATCTTTTTAAAAACTTGTCATGATTAGGGGACATGAAAATGCCAAATAAATTAAAACAGGGCTCTGATTCTGTGGTTACCTTACCATGTATGATCTAAAGTAAATAAATCTTAGGATTACCTCTGGTATCATTAAAACAGGCCGAATAAATCCCCACTGCTTACCTCCTAGGGAATGAGTAAGTTTATGTTGAAACTAAAGAGCTATTTAAGTCCCCCAAAGAGAACCTTCTGTAATAATGTGTCAAGGCCGAATACAACAGCAGAAAGAACTATGTGACCTTCCAAATTCCTAAGCCAGTAAACCCTATCACATGCAGTAACTTCTGTAGCTTAACATGTTAGCAGATGGCCAAAAAAAGGAGAAACTTCTTTAAGATGCTGGAAAACTAATAAACCTTCAAGGAACAGGGTAGGTGTATTCTCTCTCAAGGGTAAAATATTTATTCTTACTCCTTAAAACTCAAGAAAACCTTAAAGATGGAAGAATGAAAAGATAATAGTAATTCTGTGAAGGGATAATGGACACGAAAGAGTGCCAGCAACAATTACATTTTGGTGAAACTTTTCAGGAAAAGAAATATGGATTCAACGAGGAAAGCGATAAAATAATCAGTTTCCTCCTAAAACACTGGAAAACAAAAGATTCAGATCAATTCTCTCTTTCTCACCCTTAGGCCTAAAGGACACATGGGCTGAGGTCCCTTTTTCTTTGGGAAATGGGTTTAGTAAAAGCTGACAAATCGAATTGGGCCTGATGCCAGGAGTCAGAGTCCAACCATAATATTCTTTAAAGAATGGCATGCAATTGTCTTGTAAATCTCCTAGACGGTCACAGATCAGAAACTGGCAAGGATGACGACATAGTTCTGATGGAATGTGTCTTATCTCAACCTTGAAGTTACAGATCTGCTCAGGAGCAGCAGTAAGAAATGACAAATGCACTCAGACATGGGAGGGGACATAACTCTCTTTTAGACGGTGCGACCCAGTGTATTAGGATCAAATGAAACACAAAGCCAAATGGACAATTTAAGAGCTAGAGCCTGGACCAGATAAAGCATCAAGACTGGTGGTTCATGCTGAGTTTGGAAGGAGGGAGTGTTCCAGTATGAGAAATGAGACATGGCTGGCAGAATGATGGAGTCATTAAGGTAGAATCCCAATACCATGACAGAGGAAGAGAAGATGAGCCTCTGATCACAACCTTATCCTTGTGGAAATCTCCATGGGAAGGGGTGAGCAGTTTCTCAAGTTTCTAGAGTCTTTCAGGCATAACAGCTCTCAGCTCTCTCTGTAATATATTGACAGGAACTGTAGTAAAGCTATTGACAACTATAGG